CGAAAATGTTGAATTTGAGTGGAGATATGCTTCTTCAAAAATAGAGGTTGAAAACCCGCATTACTTTCCGAACAACCTAATACTAGTTGCAGTTTTACCTTTGCAAAGTTTGCCGACTCTAGTCGTGATCAAACTGCTCAGCAGAGGTCCATAGATTTTTGCGAAGAATCCATTCTATTAGTTTGTCCCATAATTGGTGAATCACTTGGGGTATTTTTTAATTCAATTTTTTATGTGAAGTCCAAACATACACCTCTGTCATCTACAATGTATTGCCTATACAAGGAAATTTAGTCGCTGTCTTATCTCTAGAATTCCAGGAGCTATTGATCGAAGAAAGATCGGAAGTCGAGTTTGAGGTCATGTCACTTAGCGTAAAATTTCTTCCTGGGGAAGAGCGCTAGAGGTCAGACTGAGTTGTCTTTTGTTGGCACGAGGATAGGGCCACACAGAGGAAGTGAAGAACTGCTAGCCTGAGAGTCTCCAATTTTTTATGAATATTCTCCGCAAGGTGGGGTCGAACGACCTCAGGAAAAAAGCAGACTTTGTCTTGCTTTACTTTCAAATTGAACGCGTCGCCATTACGCTGTAGATGTTGATCTTCTTCAGTGACCCTAGTATTACTGGGCGGCGGTTCCCAGCGCAAGGTCACTCTCGTGCTCCACCAATATCTCGAAGGGTCGGACTCGAAGGAGGTTCGGCTTTTGCTGTCAGAACTCCCGAATCGTTCATGCTAGGCTACTGCTTGGAGATTTGCTAGTACACTCCACCCAGTCCAGAACCCTGGTGAATATGCTGGATGATCACTGTAAGGAACTAAGGGAGATCAGAAGGAACATGATGATCGTGTGTGGAGCTGTTTCGGGCTCAGAGCATACAAGATACAAACTAATATTTTAAAATCTTTACAACTCTACGTAGATGTCTACATTCCATCATTTTAACAAGTCGGACATGCTCTAACAAATGGCGACTAGTTTGTCCAGATCCACCCTCAGTGGCGCTGGGTACAGCAGTGAGATTACCATGAAGTGAACCAAAAGCAGACCGTGGCGAGAGGGAGCGTGCCCTCGCCTATCTGCTGGTTGATTCTCTATGTTGTTGGGCGTTTGAAAGATCCTAATCAGAAGTGATTAAGAAGGGAGCTCAAAAATAGGTTCCAGAAAAATTGAAGTATCAGCCACGGAAGGCAGCATGTAAATGGGCTGAGTAATTGCTCAGGTAGGATAATGTGGGTGCTACTTCGCAAAACATGTTTCACGCCTTCACCATTTTTCTTGGATTTTTTATAGCAATAAATGTAAAGTGATTCACTAATTATGGGACAACCTAATTGCATTCACAGTTCGGACGAATAGCGAGTCATTCATTAGGATGGAACAAGGTATAAGAAGAGCAAATGCATCTTCGAATCAGCGATCCTTGCCTTTTCCGGTCTCAGCCTAACTTGTCATCTGTTCTATGTTCTTGTTCTTCATCTGGTTCTGTAAAATCTTTTAGCTATAGTTTATCAACTTTCCATATCCAACAACCACTTTCACCACGCCGAGGCTCCTCCCTTAACAAGCTTCCTAAGCTATCCCTATTCAGCACATTTTTTGTACCCTCCCTTCAAAACGAGAAGAGCGTCGGGTGCAGACCATACACCACAAGTGACGACGGCCTCCAAGTAAATCTGGTTAGTAGTGTTCATAGTGATAGCTGATTTTTGGTAAATGATAGTTGTAATTAGTGACAACTGATAGAATACAACTGCAACAGGCTAATCATTTCATTGGCAGAAAACATTTACATTTTGTGGAGGCCGTCGTCACTTGTGGTGTATGGTCTGCACCCGACGCTCTTCTCGTTTTTTGAAAGGGAGTATACATGCGAGGCCAAACGAAATTTATTTATATCATTATATCATTAATTTATATCATGACTAACGCTCCGCTTCACTCTGCCGCTTCGACTCTGCTCAAATCATTCCAGAAAATAAGAAACAGAAAGTGTGGTTTCGCTCTTTGAGCATGTCGTATACATGGTTACGAAAAACAAGTGGGTGACCAATCTAAAGTGTCAAAGCGCGACAGTGGCCAACCCCGCTAGGCTCTAATCTCATTTGTGATTCTAGTGCGATATGACGCCGTGACCACTACGCCTCACTGCTTCATTCACACTTAATACATTGTGTACCGAGCCGTTTTTGCTTTGGCGAGCTCGCATGGACGCACGTGGCGCAGGCGTCCACACGGGACAGACATTGGTTCGAAATGCTTTTTAAAGGGTCTTTTCACTTCTTATCCATAGTATCGCGGTTTAAAACCACCTTTCATGAAACTGCGCGTCATATTTTTTACTTCGCAAAAATCTGCTTTGTCCAACTTTCTCATGTCTTACAACAGCGACGGGCGAAGCGTAGCCCGTCAATTACTCCACATCCGCCTGCTACCATGTTTATTGACCAAGCAGTAACGAAAATCAGTTGCAGAATATTTTGCAATTCCACTCTTTCACAGGATCTTCTGAGGATAAGGATACATTAAATCCACCGTACATTTATCATAGTGCTCAACACCACGGAAGAGCGAACTTTAGCAGGGTTTCGAATGAAGTTTAGTTCCAATGCTCACTTCGGAAATTCACTGCCGAAAGACGTGTAAGCTGAAAAAAAACGCTACGAAAGCCTTAACGCTGATGTTTTGCTGTATACCACTTTCTTTACTTGAAGATTTTGGTTGAAACACATTCTTGCGACGCAGTTGTATTACGACTAGATTGCGGTGACTGCTAAACTTGCTTGAAAGAATGTGTTTTATTCAAGCAAATTCAATTAGCAAACTAATCTCTTTTGAGAATATCATTCTACTAATATTAGCTAATTATCTGGAGACGTCCCACTCAGATATGTTGTTCTCCTAGTGAGAAAAATAACTGCAAAATCATGGAATAAGGAAAGACAACTATTGTGGACAAAAACATCGTGCGCCACCATGTGGCGCACGCGGTAGTGTTAACGACGAGCGTTATCACTTTTATTCTCTCTTTATAATAGCAATAATAAATACAATCAACCTAAAAATATTACTCGGCCAACATACATTATGAACGATGATGATATCTAATGAAGATCAACAGCGACTGACTGATTTCCGGTATATTAATGCTGATGGATACTTGTCGATCAATACCAATCAATAACGATCGGTCCATGGGCGACGCTAGCTACGGTTATGAGGGCAGAATTCTGAGGGGCGTAAAATCACAGCACCAAAACAAAGAGAGCTATCGAACGGCAAATGAGTTGAGCGACGCTTTTTGGTGAAGGCCTCTCCATGACAGACACAGACAGACGCTATGCGAGTAGACTCGCAATCAATACATTAATAAGAAGCAATTATTAACCAACTTATTTAAAATAGCTACTAGCAATATTTGGCGTTTAAAACAAAATAGTGGGTGATTAGTAATCAATCAATCGATAACCAATAAAAATATAACATCGAATAAAACAAGCGATTAGCATGACAATGTGAAACTTATAAGCAAAGCGCATCTGAGTATGACAAGGCATGAGAAATCAATACATAATGGTTAGTCGCTTTAGGACCTTAGAACTACATGATTTAGTATAACAAGGCATTTTGTTGCAATACCGGACGACTAGAACCTATAAGAAGGCAGGACACAGCGGGTGAGAAGGGGGGATTCAAACCAAATGTAATCGTAGTGAGGCAGTTCTCAGAACTTCAAGAATCGTAGAGCAGGGTATCGTTAGACTGCTTTCGCACCTCGGATTGCCCACGGACGAATATCGATTGGGCGCGCGTAAAATCAATACACACTCGAAGCAAACAAGGCAAGCCGAAATGCAAAAGCATTCTTAAAAGCGTGAGAAAAGAGACGTAAAATAGCATGTAGTACCCGAATATGCAGACATGTAGATGAGACGACAATGGCAAATCTTCTCCTGGGAAGAGATTAGAAAAAGCGAGGTCGATCGATTAGAAATGCGTGATCATAACGGAGAGGAACTGGCGGTCTGATGGTCCGCCACCGTTGCTGGGCTTCGGCTGTGGTTGAACGTCCATGTGTTGCCATTCGCCTCCTTCCCCGGCTTTCAGAGAAAATGACCACTGGCCATCAGAATCCACCGGACCACAGTGTGGTAATCGAAGTTCACATGGAGTCAAGAAAGTCAGTCCTAAATAGGAGGGGTTTAAAAAACGGTGAGCTTATACGGTGAAATCTAGAGAAAATTCACCTTGAGGTCCACACATCACAAGTGGGGAAAGCAAGGTTTCTCCTTTGGATTTGTCAATCGGTGGCGAATCACCGTCACGACACACCTGCAACGAAAATTCTTCAATGATTACGCAAGCCACGCCCGATGTCCCAAAATTCGCCCCTACTATCAATCCAGAAAAACCACCCAAAGCTGCGCTACCGGAAGGTTATCGTCTCAGAAGCTTCAACTCACCCATTCTCAGTGTGAATCTTCTGAATTTGCAAAAAAAAATTCGATAAGACTTCAAACTGCAGAGAAAAATGTGGGTTGGACTCAAAAAAAGAAAAACGTTTAGCTCTTGAAAAATATTCCCTAGATCGATCTTCATAGGATAAGCCATGCAATCGACGATCATTTAAAGTCGCAAAGACCTCATTTAACAATTTGACTCACACTCACCTTTACATAGATCTCGTGCGATTCACCGGGTGGGATTGCACCTTTTGGAATTCGAAGCTCAACACCAGAAGCCGGACAGTTCAACACTCCACCCTCATGGCCGATCACCGCATTCGTCTCTTCGACTATTGTCGGGTCTTGGATCTAGAAAAACATACATATTCTCGGGAGAACGGTAAGAATCTAGACCCAAACAATAGAACGTCTCAGACGAAGTTGGAAAGCTACAGAAGAGGTGAAATGTCTCGCTTACGTCTGACATGGACATTGCCGTGTTCTCGACACTGTTACGCTCATTGTGGTTGGCGACGTCGTCCCTTCGAGGGCTGCGATTTCCATTCGCCTCCATTTGAATCTGCTCGGGCGACTTACCATTGGTATTGCTGCTCGTTGACGAATTACCATTTGCAAGGCTGAAATGCTTTGTTTCGAGAACCCTGGGGTCATTCGGTTTCCTCAGTGTTATGCTATAAGGAATAACTACGAGAAATTTTTGAAAATGAACCCCAGCATTCGATGGTGCCCATAGCGTCACTTAAACTGGCTAATCTTGGCACATTTGGAAGTTTGCTCCAAAACCTAGCGGGTGGGGGATTATGTAACAGCTGACATGACAAATTTTTCGCAAATCTCCGAATTCCACAAAAAATCCCCCCCCCCCCTCCCAATGACCTGATTCGCCAAATTTTTTCCATAAAATACGATACTGTCCTCCGAATACGACCTACCTCTAGAGAAAACCCAGCGGAAGTTTGAATCTGCTTGGCATCTTCCTAACAAAAACGCTAACTACATCGACAAAAGTTGTCTAATAAGGATACCAACCCATTAGTGCCAGGTGGCCGTGAAGAATGCGGAGGCGCCAGGGATATGCTGTTTGAGATTAAACTCGGCGAGTCCATGCGGGAATCGGCTCCGGAGTGACGCTGTCTTGCCAGCGATTTCTGCAATTACTTTTATTTTGACAATTAAAAGTAACAATTACTCAGAAGGTCGATCATCATTCACTAACCGCACAACACTATCCGTGTAAAGATGAGGTTTAGGGGCAATCGACGGTCGCACGGAGGCGGTTTGAGCGGTTCCACGAGGGTATCGGGGAGGAGCAGAGGCGGCCCCGGCGCCATCGCTGGAGTGGCTCGAAAACGTAGAGCCAATCTGCGACGACGGTTTTTCTTCACGTGGCGAGTACATGTCCGGATTTGGTGGTTGTAATGGCACCTGAACAACACCGCTTTCAAGAATTTACAGAATTTGTGGAAAAAACTGTTCATGATAATGGCGCATTCCAACGAAGGCCGGTGTCAGACTTTGCGGATCTAGCGACACGCTAGCAAATCACTTGATTCGCAAAATCTGGCACCGACCTAAGGGGGTTTCGTTTGAAAACAAGCTCAGACGAGGGAATTGGATAGCTACTATAAAAAGGTTGGAAGGTACAGAAGGTGCTCAAATCAAGGGGATTCTCTTTAGGGTTGGAGGCGACGCCACGATAAGGACACTGGGTGCCAATGAGAGAGGGCAGACGAGGGAGCATAGCGAACTAACGAGACGCAGACACAGGTTACGTAAATCGGAGCATCGCAATCAACAATTTCAATCTTCTGGAAAAGTGACAATGCCAAACGCCCTTGTTTCATACTATCAACCTCTGAGAAGGAGGAGCCAATCTGCCCAGATTTCGACTTTGTGGACAGCCTGCTCCTTCTCAAAGCTGATGAACTGGATTCATCATGATCCAATCATGAAAAGTCCTTTGCCAGCAAAACACTTCATTCCATTGGAACCTTTGCGAGGCAGGGATAGCCGAGTGGTTAAGAGGTTAGACTCATGTCTGCACCTCTGAAAACCGCGAGTTCGATCCCTGCCGAGGCTCTAAACCATGCCTTGCAAAAATTGCAAAAATGGTTCTAGTACCAGCGTCAGGCCCAGGTTGACAGGCCGGCTGATGAATACCCCAGTCACACCAACATGTCTAAAAGTCGCAAAAGAATCAGTGATAAAGCTAGGACGTCACCCGGAAGTGGCGCGCAGAACCCCCGCCCGAGTTCTGTGGTCAGTATGCGAGGGCTACCGAGGAGTGAACGGCCTCGGCCAAAGAAGCTAGTTCGAATTGGGACTCTGAACGTAGGATCGCTAACTGGGAAGTCCCGAGAGGTTGCTGATCTGATGACGCGCAGGAATATCCAAGTCCTATGCCTTCAGGAGACGCGATGGAAAGGTGCTAAGGCCAGGGAAATCGGGGAAGGTGTCAAACTCTACTACAATGGAGAAGACACCAAGCGGAACGGCGTGGCCATAGCGGTAGCGGAGTCGCTCAAGGACTATGTCTCCGCTGTGAACAGGATCAGCGATCGGATCATGGCTGTGAGGATAGACACGAAGGAGGGGTACTGGACAATACTCTCCGTGTACGCACCGCAAGCCGGGTGCCCCGAAAGTGATAAGGACGAGTTCTATCTGAGCCTGGACGAAGCCATAAGATCGGTTCCGGAAGGCGATTACCTGACCATAGCAGGTGATCTGAATGGTCACGTCGGCAGTGACAGAAGAGGCCTAGAAAGGGTGCACGGAGGTAGAGGGATAGGAACGAGGAACGCTGAGGGAGAGAGGGTTCTGGACCTGGCTACGCCCACGACTTGGCAGTTCTTCGCGAAAAGGAAGTCTCAAAAGGTAACCTACAGCAGTGGAGGGAGACAGACGGAAATCGACCATGTGCTGGTAAGAAGATCATCCCTCAAAACTGTGAAGGATATCAAAGTTCTACCCGGCGAAGATCTGGCTCCCAGCACAGGCCCCTCCTGGCAGACATTGCCATAGACCTCCCCAAGAAGACAAGGGTAAGAACCGAGAGGAGAATCCGGTGGTGGAAGCTGCACCAAGCGGAGAAGAGATGACCTCAAGCGAAAGATAATGGAAGTCGGTCTCCCAGATCCTAACGGGCCAATACAGCGGACTTGGGGCAACGCGGCTGAGACCATCCTGCGATGTGCCAAGGAGGTACTGGGCGAGACGCGAGGTGGATTCAGAGGAGACAAGGCAGCGTGGTTCTGGAACGAGGAGGTCCAGCGAGTCGTGAAGCAGAAGAAGGAAGCATACAAGCGCTGGCAGAAGACCCGGAGCCCGAGGACCTCGCTGCCTACAAGAGTTGCAAGAGGCTCGCTAAGGCCGCCGTCGCCAAGGCGAAGAACACGGAAATGGACGCCTTGTACGAGAAGTTGGAAAGCAGAAACGCAGAGAAGTTCGTCTTCAGGCTGGCTAAGGCCCGGCATCGGCTACCCAAGACATCAGGGTGGTGAAAAGTGTGAAAAGGCAGCGATGGTGTCATCCTAAGGAAGCCAGCCGAAGTCAAGAGGAGGTGGGAAGAGTACTTCAGTGCACTTCTGAACGAGGAGTTCCCCCACGAAGAACAACTCACGGGCAGAGGCCACAGCTGGTCCCATCGCACTCTGGACTGAGGATGAGGTTAGGTGTGCACTTGGGAGGATGAAGGTTGGGAAAGGCGGTTGGCCCAGATGGGGTGCCAATCGAGGCTTGGAAGGCGCTCGGAGAGTACGGGATAAGATGGCTCAC